TTACAGAATCTCACTGAATCTTATAGAATCTTACAGAATCTTACAAAATCTTAGTGAATCTTACAAAATCTTACAAAATATCACTGAATCTTATAGAATCTTACAGAATATTTCAAAATCTTACAAAATATTACAGAATCTTACAAAATCTTAGTGAATCTTACAAAATCTTACTGAATCTCACTGAATCTTATAGAATCTTACAAAATCTTACAGAATCTTACAGAATATTTCAAAATCTTACAAAATCTTACTGAATCTCACAAAATCTTACAGAATCTTACTGAATGTTACAAAATCTTATTGAATCTTTACCTCAGATACAATGATGTCCATACGTCTCCTTAACTTTCTCAGTGTACTCATTAACTGATCAGGGTCACGATGGATACCAACCCAGCAACCATTCACAAAAATCTTTGTAGCACTGTGGATTGATATATAAACAATTTTTTAATACAATTCATTTGACTGTGTGAATTTAAAAACCCTTCATGAATGATCATGGTGTCTGTGAACAAAGCAATCAATGCATTTTGAATCACTGAAATTGAACAGGTACAGCATACAGTTTAGCAATTCATGCACAAATAGAACAAGCATTGAGGATGCTATTACAGGCATATTCTGCAACTTGTCTCTCAATAGCAGTGCAAAGCAAGTTATTTTATTTCTTGCAAAGTGCTATTTGAAGTTTAATTGACTTTTTGTCCTTTCAAAATTCGATTTGCCTGGTCATCTAGCGAATTTGGAAAGACATTATCCTTTGACCGCCCATTATTTCGAGCCCGGAATAGTCCTTGACTAGCGAAAAGTGACAACTTTTGCATATTAGCAATAAAAACATTTTAGTTATTTTAGTTAATATTTATTATTATGGCAATACTAAAACAAGTACCGATCTCGGTACTGTGGACTACCCATTTGGCATTCAGCCTCATGGCCTATTAGCTTGTAGTGGACTTGCCCTCAAGATCTAATTGTTAAGTAGTCCACACGACCTTGCAGTCTAAATGTTAACTACTTGTATTCAACTCACTTGTTGATGGCTGATGGTGTAATCTCTTCAAGGTTTTCCATTGTCCATTCCTCCATAAACTCTAAAATAGGACTAGGTTGTGAACCCACAGAAATGTAAGCCATAAGGGCTAAGTTCTTCACAAGTCCTACAGCATGCCCCTCTGGTGTCTCGGCTGGACATATCATACCCCAATGCGTGTTGTGCAGTTGTCGAGGCTTTGCTAGTTTTCCTTCTCGCCCAATGGGAGAGTTAAGACGTCGTAGATGAGATAGCGTAGAGGCAAATGTTAGTCTGTTTAATACCTGGGAGACACCTGCTCTTGAGGAGTGGGCTTTTTTCTGGTCACCCCAGTTCCCTGTAGCCAGGGAGTACCGAAGTCCATCAGTGATGACCTTGGGTTTGAGTGCAAGTTCAATGTTGAAATCCTAGACAAGAAAATATGCATAGAGCAAGTTTCAAACTTGAAGTATGTTTATCAAATAATTGATATGGTAAACACAATGGAAAATCTTTTACATGAATAAATCTGTATATATGAGAAAGTGATTTATCAAGTTGGGTATACATTTTAACTTTTTCTGCACCTGAAAGCTGCCTGTTTTAAATCCTCAATATATGTCTCCTGCTCATGTTACATGCATATGCATTGCAGAGGTTGTTTTTAGTAATGGCAAGGTGTAAATGCAAGATAACATTATAACTCAAACACAATTTCTTACCTTTCCTCTGTCTATAAACTTCTGTGCATACATCCGTACTTCTTTCATAAGATTTCTAAACAACCTATGAATGCAAAAAACATATTGGTATATGGTAACTACTTGCTGTAACATTATTGTTTTAGCAAATGAAGTCTCATATTTCAAAGACTCCATCTGCAAAGAAGGGGAGAGATTTCCACAAACTCCTGGAAATTTTGCTACATTTTTATCACAAAATTTAAGGGATTTTATAGGTGTTGTTCAAGAGCTTTCCAAAAGTATCTAAAACGTTTTGACAAGGTTTTACAAGAAGTTTTATTGTCATATAGAAGGCCAAATCTTACCCTCTAAACAAGAACGCTAGTAATGGTCCTGCCAGATCCAAACGTTTGTTACCATAGTGATCACGGTCATCCAATTCCCTTCTCCCTAAGGCTGCCAATAAAAGTCTGTGTACCATGTACCTATGATTACAATAAACACAAGTTTTGTATATAACATGTAATGGGCTGCCTGTGGTACAATTCCACAGGAACCCCATGTACTTGAAGATTTGGCAGTAATCCACTTTAAGGCCTGTTTACAMTTGCAATTTTTGCAGCGCGATTGTTGCGCAACAATCGCCTTAGTTTCGAACATGCTTGAAATCTGGCTGCGACAATCGCAGGGCTGTTTACACGTACGATTTGAGGTGCGAGAGAACAAAGTGGCGATTGTYGCGCGACAATCACGCTGCAAAAATTATTATTGAAAACGGGCCTTTATGCATGTAGCTTCAGCAGGGTATAAAATTTCATTGTGTTCTTTTATCAGCAAAGTCCATCAAGTTTAACCAGCTCAAAGCAATTTACATCTTAAAAATATCCCTTCACACAAAGACTGGGGACATTTTCCTAGCCTTGTATACAATAGACGCTCTGTTATTTTTTGCTATATATAAAGAATACATCAAACCAATATGACTATAAAACAAAAGAGACTCACCCCAAGAAGTAAGCTTTCTTAGTCTCGCAGAAATCACTGACTCCAACATGGGGTAACATTTCCTTCTGTAGGATTTCTTTGGCATACTTAATTCTCTTTTCTTTAGTCACACCAGGTCTTGCTCCACGGGATCCAATGAAGTTCAATGCAACATTCTGTTCCTGGATTACAAAGGCTTCATCCAAAGATGGTTTAACCTAGATTTGATATAATAATTAATTATCAATTCATTAATGATCAATCCTAGTGATTGGGAAAACACAAAAAAATGTATATTAACAGTCTAGCCCCCTCCAGAGGCAACCATCCACTTTTTTGCTTTTCCCCTATCTTTGGGATTCCTGTTTTGAGACAAGAAGATGTTTGCTGGGGCAGAGGGATAATTACACACATGTTTTCTTAATCTTTTTCACTGTTCTTATCGCCATTTTGAAAGGTAACCGTGCCTTTACATTGAAGTGAGACGACCATTGAGCATGTAATAATAGAAACCTTCTTTCACACCTACATGTAACAGCACAGACTATTATTCACAGGTATCTATCATTGCACGCTCAATGGCTGTCTCGTTTCACTTAAAGGCATGGTTACCTTTCAAGATGGCGCAGGTAACCATGAGGAAAACTATTTTTACTTTTGTGTCCAGTTCCTCACTCAATTTCCACAGGGCTACAATTGAGTACCCTGCTTAAATGCTTAACTCACCATTTCCATCATCTCCTGGTCTTCAAAATCATAAATAATATGCTCCAAGATATCTCTATCGGCAACAAACCCAAGCGCTCTGAATATAATCATTATAGGAATCTCCTGCCTTATATACGGCAATGAACCCACAATCCTTTGCCCTATAGCACTACGACGACCACTTTGGCTTCCTTTAGCAAGCATAGAAACCCACATGGAGCTTGTTGGTCTTGATGAATGTTCAAGACATGAACGAATCTCGGCAGTGTAGGAATACTTGGAATCCTTTTTCGAGAAGACGTAGACAGTGTTAGTAGCCATTTTCTCTTGAGCAATTAAGACTTTCTCAGAGCCGTTAATGATAAAGTAGCCACCAGGGTCTAATGGGCACTCATTTAATTCTGTTAAATCACGATCATTGAGGTTACTTAAGAGACAGTATGTTGATCTAAGCATGATAGGGATTTTGCCGATGAACATTTTGCTGTGGGTAACTGTCTGTGGCTCTTCATTCTCTTTGATTCTTGTTTTTGTGATGTCTACGTAAAATGGTGCCGAATACCTATAACCAAAACAAAGTAGAAAATAAATCATCTGGAAATTTAAATATTGTATAAAATACATCAAGGATTTTTGTATACAAACATGTGGCATCTAACAAGAAGTGTTGTTTTATCAAGGGTAGGGTGGTGTTGGTGATTCGATTCATTAGTAAACTTTATTTTGGTAATTCCGATTCGTTTCGGTTCAGGTTGGGTTGTGTCGTGTCTTTCAACTAACTTTACAATACTCTTCTCTTAAATTTATACATACTTGTGTTTACATAGAGTGATGCAATCGATTGCATCACTCATGCTTATATGTCAAACTATTTTTCATACACAAAAACATTAAGGACAATGCTCTGGGGAAACAAAAGGTCTACATAGTATCTGTTGTTTCCCCAGAGCCTTTTATGGTCTTTGAGGTCTTTTCCAAACTTACATGTTCTATACAAATAAACTTACGTTAGATTTCGAAGCCTGGCTTCATTTGGCATCATGGCACTTGGTGCGCCATCTTTTTCCCAATGAGTAGGCTTGGACAGGTAGATTTGTTCAAACTTTAACACATATTTTGCCTAATATGACAGAAAACAGGTTAAGCTCAAAGGATTTAGCATTGAAGTAATGCCAGTATTTATGCATACTGTTGCAATTCATGGATGTGGCTACACATAGGAGACATACAACAGTTGGCTCTGCAAAGGTTGCTTGTTTTGACCCCCAGATCAAACTGATTTGATACAGGGCATATATCAAAAATTGAAAGAATTCAATTGAATAAATCAAGCAAAAATAACACTACATGTTATGTTGTTTTCAATGTTCATATATATGGTACATTTATTAAGTATATGAGTATCCATATATATACATGTAACAGCAGTAATGCAGCTTAATTGTAAAAATATGAAGCTCATAAAATGTGTATGATTTCTTGCTATAATATAGCACAAATTGATAATAATGTTTGCAATAATCTTACAGGGATCTCTGTGTCTGCTGTCATATGCTGGGACTCAGCCTGGAGATCTATTTCTGGTGAATCTTCCACGATTCTCTGCACTGACATTTGAATAAACTCGTCGAACGAGTCCAACTGTTGCCTGACAAGACCTTTCTCGTCGAAATACGAACTAATAACGATCCAGCAAGCTTCTTGCCATAAATCTGGCGTAATGTCCTCACCCTCATCCTCTCCATAACCTGCATCTGGTTTAGATAAAATGGAGTTAGTTTAGAGATTTCCTTGACACATTGGAGTGACATAGAGCAAAACAACAAAGGTCGTGGTGCAAAAACTTAAACAAACTTACCATCATCATGGTCATACATGCCACTCATGGTGGTAAAGCACAAATGAGAAGTTTATATATCTAATTTGAGAAATATAGACTGTGAAAGTACAGCTGGGAGGTCGATGAAGACGGATTTTATTCTCACACTTCCTCTCGCTACTACTTTTGGTCAGCCATTATGCTGAGCCAAGCTCGACCCAGTACGCACTCGATCAAAATGTCCTTTTTGAAACAGGGACCCCAAGCATAATCTTTCACATTTGCTACTTTTTTAAAAGAGAAGTTACTTTAAAAGGAGAAGAAAACAAGAAAGAAATAATGAAATAAATAGAAAAATGCTTATCAAACTTAATCTTTAAAAATTAGAAAAAAGAATAGCGACTGCATGATTACCTACAATTTATATAGCCTTGAGTGTAAAAAGGAGAGAAAATACTTCATATTCTAATTTGAAAAGCTTATTTCAGTTAAAAATGGTAAACTAGTATTTAGTTTTAGATTCCTAACAGAATTTTATAGACACGGACAGACAGACAATTGTGTATAGAGAAGTAATTTGATCTTTGATTAACGCATTGTGGGTAATTTACGCGTTAGTACGACAAGACGCCAAGAAGTCAAAACAAAGCGTAAGAMGTAAAATGGCTCGTAATTGAAGAAATTATCATTCTTTCACGCGTCAAAACTTACGAAAGGTAAAAACACGCTCTAATTTTTTGTCTCAAAACATTGAAATATTGTTATTTCAACATTGCATTCCGATAAGCTCGAGCGCTTGCTTGCGGACTTTGGCGTTTCGATGGTAACACGATAAATCAAGGATGATTGATATAAATATTTCGTCTTCAAATATTCTTTAACTGGCTCTTATTGTCACTAATATCACTATTTAATGTAAAAGGAAAGACAATCTTGACAAACTTGTAATAGAAACTTCGTTTAATACAGCGAAAATTATTCTTAAAATATCGACAAAAGCTAGAACTCGTGTGTGTTGCAATCAAAGTAGCTCACCGGCGTGACGCAGAAAGCTCGAGAACAATATAATTGTAGCAAATCACATTCGACTTTCAATAATATTTCGGTTTAGTATTTTACAGCAAAGGAGTTAATTTTTGGGGTACATTTTCGACGTGAAGGAGCTTATTAGCTAACAGATTTTAAATCTCAAAAGTTGCAATTAAGAATGCTTTCCGGATATCGGGATCTCTTACAAGAATCTCCTTCTAAATAATTCACTACAATATCGCTACGTGTTACTCTATTACAAAGGCTAACGATTATAGAACTTAATGATTTTATTTATTATTTCGAAGAGGTCGAAAAGTTACGTATGACAAGAACTTATAAAGTGATAAAATTGAGACTGAAACGGAACTGAATTATGTTGCCGAAAATCACAAATAATATTTATATCATTTTACTTTGAAAAAAATCATTATGTATGTCATATATCATTGGTGTATTTCTAGATCCTTCTGTACGAATTTTTTGGAGGTATCTAGATCCCCATTGAAGTCATTCTTCGCTCATTGTTTTGTAAAAGGCGCCACATGTCAAGATTTACACAAAACCCACAGATCGACAAAAAAAAAACAGTTATTGAATTTTACAATAATATTTAGGAAAAAATCCCCAAAGCATTTTCTTGTTCATCTTTTATGTTATTCAAAATATTACAGGCAACGCGAAATAAACTGTTTCTTCGCATGTAAACATAACGTGGCTTTTGTTTGCATCGCAACTGAACTCAACCTCTGGTAACAGAGGAATGTGTCAAAATAAAATGACTAAACTGTTCAAAAATTAAGAGTTTGTCATCAATATATCATTGATTTTTTCAAATATTTAGGTCTTTTAGATAACAAAGACAAAGTTAAGAGTTATCGATTGTCAATTTTTGGGAGACATTGCTTCAAATAATGTCAGCCAGAATGTTTAAGACTTAGACAAAGAGCTCAGAATGTCACATTTGGAGCTTAAAGGAAACTTTTGAATAAACATGTGGACTTATGAAAGGCATAAAACTATTATTTCTTACAGATGATGCTTTAGTTTGGTTAAAACATTCAACAATGGGACACTCTGCAAGCATAGCAAAGAAGTACCAACCACGCCACAGTGGGCATGGCAACAATGATGGAAAGGACGACGACGATAAGGACTCACTAGCAACAGTGTCAAGCTACAAACCCACATCACCTCTAGCCCACTCTGATGCACAACAGTTCTCATTTTCACCTCAAGACAGACCWCCGAGTCGGAATGGACATGCTATGAACGGCACTATTCCTAATGGGTCGTTAGGTTATCGGCGTCACACTACGCCATCTTCAAGCACATTGGGTACACCTCGTCTTCACTCTATGAGAGAYGTCAATCATTTCCTTGTTAAAAAYCCTGAATTGTTAAACAGAAAGAAGACCAAAAGAGTTATGCAGAAGAATGCATTTGATGACATTGAGAATCACAAACAAATAAAAACAAAGCAGGATCTYTACTTGGGATTATTYGACCCACCGACAATTTACGGCAAGGGCGTGGACCCAGAAAAACAGCTTAAAATAAACCAGAGGGTCTACTTGCAACTGATTCATCCAACRTATGGTCAGCAGTATTACAAACCATATCGCCCACTCATTCCTGATAACATGATTGTGGTCAGAAAAGATGATGTCATGAAGAAGCCGCTGCCACGTGAAAGGACCCGCCCACCACTTAAGGGTATGGAAGTYACTCRAGCCAGTCCTGCWGCATTGATGGCATCACAGCAACGCACCCCATCTAGGCAGTCCCAGAAATCRATGTCTCGTTCAAAGTCCCCACAAATCCCTAATGGCCATGTTCTTYCATCCAGCACKCCAATTAGAGGCACCCCAAGAAGGCGGACAAATGAATATGTAGACATGCCRTCATCATCTCTGAAAATGAACAAGCATGGTTCCAGATTATCAAARCTCAACCCAGATTTAATGGAAGTTGAAAGAAGGTTTGAATCACAAAGTASYWGTCTTGGCAAATCTGCAAAGCATGAACCAAAACAGGAGGACATTGTRTTTGACTATACWGTGGAAGAACTTGGACTCAAGAAAAAGACCAGAAGCTCACAGCRTTCACAACCTAAGGACTCTCCAGGAAGTGTTGAACCCTTGTACTTTAGGAAATCACTTGCATATAATCCAAGGTATTCAACTAGAGGGAACGTGCTGTCAGATCCTTTATAAATATAATAAAATCATTCTTATCAAGACAAAAAATATATACAATATTATATATATTTGTTGAAGGTCGAAAATGACAGTAGCAGATCCAGTAAACAGTTGCAGGGACTTTTTGCCTGTTATCTGTGTCTCCTTTTTGGTATTTTTTTATTCTATTGAGACCTGCAACCTTTCCTGGCAAAAATCTTGGATCTTCCAAGATGTATGATTTCTGGGGTTGTCTGATTCAACAGCCAACACTGACTCACTCCAAGTCTCGCTTATTAATTCTTTCCATTGCTTGGAATTTCTGTGTTGTGATTCAAAATTAATCCCACTTTTCCAGTCCTCTCTCATAATAGGGCACAAAGAGGGAGAAAGACGTTGTTGTTCTCCCGTTCTATGTGTCCTGTTCTTTCGAAAGCATTTGTGTCAGGAAACAAGAAATTTGAATCACACCACAGGAATGGAAAGAATGGAAAAGCGAGGATCGGGGCAAGTCTGCAGCCATCAAGAACATAAAAGTCCWAATGAATAGACAAATAGTTTCATTCCTAAGAATTTGGTAGCATTATACAAAAGTTCAACTCTTGTCATGGTCACTCCCTGCTACTGTAGGAGAGAGTTGATCCATTTTGGAATTATGAGATTGGAATTATGAGTGTCTGAAAGCAGGGTGTCATAGTTGCTTTATAGGGGCTGATTGATTTTATAAAAAAGCTAAATCATAAATACTATGCATTTGATAGTAAGCCTGACATTGATTTGATTTTTGTTAGTTTTGTTGGTTGTAGGTGATGAAAAACATACAGATTCTTTGTAATATTTAATTAAATTATATCTATATTTTTTAAGATTAAGATAGGTAACCTACTAGACGGCAAATGCTAAATGTGTGAAATTATACTGATATGGTAATCCTTCACTTTCTAATTGTCTAATCAACAAAGTTCAGTGCCTAATTGGTTAGTGCTATGTTTCACACTTTTAGGATTGTGCTCAACCAGAATGATTTTATAACTTATTAAGACCAGATTTTGTATCAGTATGCCAGTACTTCTTGGTACATGCTGTGATCATTCCTCAATTAAGTCTTTTCTCAGTTCAATGATCACACCATGTCATTGTGCTGGCCATTACACAGTCATATCCCTTTTTAAAATCTGCKTTGATATCTTGAAGGATACAGGTAGCATAAATAGACGGGCATTAGTACCTGCTCCAGTTGAGTATGGGCTGTAGAAGTCCAGAAGGGTCTAGGTTTCTCTGCCCAAACTCTYTAGATGAGCTAGGAAAGCCTGCTGGCTATTTGTGTTCTCAGCAGCCAGATGTTTGAGGCTGCCTGTGCTGTGAATGAGAGCTGCCATACTTGGGGCCATGTGGGACTGGGCTTACCCTCTCATTTTGGTGTTTCAAACAGCTCTGTGCCAGACATGAATTATTAGAGAGGGGGCTAATCCACCATTTGCCTTTGGCTAAAGATTGCTTCATGGTAATATATTAATGATTCTTAAGATCATCAGCCTCGTTTAAACATTTTTAACAATAGTGTTTAATATTGATTGTGTATACAGATCCCTAAGTCTTCCTTGTCAGTGTCCCGTGACTTCGTCCATGAGACAAATGGGGGCTTTTGGTTTTTTGGCTATATGTAGATAGATGCTCATTGTATATTGTATAATTTTGAAAATAAAATTAGTAAAGATACAAGCTGATACACTTGTCTGTCAAACTTGATTCATATTGGTGGTATATCTTTGGAAATTCTCGAGCTCTTTTCGTCCCTAAGCTTTCCATGGAATACTCATTCCACTTTGCAATTATTGAACCTCCCCGKGATTTGCATCGGCAATTCCATTCTCAATAGATTTTATCACAGCATTTTCTGGATGCAAATTTTAGCAATAAGAGTATTATTGTTTTAATCTTATACATTGACATTTGGCGCGCTTTTCATAAACACAATCTTTACGCAACATAGAATACAAGCGGGGACCTTCATTTGCTTTTAAAACTGCGAGCTGTACTAATGAGCGCGCTGCGCGTGTCTAAGACCCTGTTTACATGAGATAGGGTGCCCCTATGTAATAGAGCCAAACTCTTTTATTTTATTTTCCCTGGAGGATTTAAAASAAAGGATTTTGGCCCTACACCTAGGGGCACCCTATTTCATGTATACTAAACAGTGTCTTAGATGTAAGTTCTTGATATTTTTGTTTCGTCCCAAAAAGCACCCAAACCACTTAGCATTGTATCTAAGTCTTTGCTTCTTTCTTTTCTACCTCCATCATCCATTATACCGGGGCCCAGCAGGTTCAAAACCACTTGGATTCTGGTTTAAGTGCATATTTTTWAWTYMAMYWACTGAATATTTGCGAGAAATTGCTAGCATGCACATTCAACAATATTTTCGGTGTTTATTCAGTTTATTAATGAACTTATAAATTCATGAACCCTTTTTATTTGAATGAAAGATAAATAAAACATCAGTTTTTAATTGGTTTATTATTTAAAATACGCAGTTCGCTATTCAATATAATATGACTCGTCCTTTAATACTTTGTCCATGCTATTGGTCCATGATTTTAAGTTTTTGAGAATGCTGCTCTGAAAAAAAAATTGGTGTTAACTTCCTAGAGTTTTTAGATATATCATAACGCCATTTGCATGTGTGCCATTGTTAATTCCAAAAGCAATTGAAATACTTCGACAATATGTACAGCGGCATTTTGGTAAGTGTCAAAAATATATATTTTTTTATGAAGTTTATGATTAATCGAAGTTTAGGAATAATTGACAACAAGTCAATTTGTCAAGAGACGAATTAGTTTGCTTGTAAACTGATTTTGTTAATTTGTTATTTTTAATGTCCATCTTTTTATTTAACAATCTTTCCTTTGCTAGTGAATTTGTGAAAAAAGACTTGATCACATTCATCCTCTGCCAAAATGAACGACGTATCGTCTAACTAGTTCATTGATTTGTTTATGTAGCTAGAAGATGTCAGCTTTATTATTGTTGTTGTTGCTGTTGTTGTTTTTGTGAGCACTTGAATGTTCAAGGTCAAGTAATGGCATACTTAGTTGTTTTGTTTTGTTTTGTTTTGTTTTGTTTCGTTCTGTTCTGTTTGTTTGTTGTTGTTATTGTTGTTGTTTTTTGTATATGTGTGTGTGTTTCTTTCGTTTGAACAAGAGGCGATTCGAATTTTTTTGTTATACTATTGGACACCATTATGGCTACCGTAACATCAACCAGAGACACCCGCCTTTATTGCACATTATTCAAACGTTTATTTCGACAAGTAAGAGTTATTAGGAAAAAGAATATAAACCTCACCTCTTTTATGATTCGACCTCTCCAGGTTTAGGTCCCTTTTCCTTCTTCTTGTCTTTCTTGTTGTCATCAGGTTTTGTTTCGTCCTTATCGTCGTCGTTGTCGTTGTCGTCATCTTGCGTGTCCARATTTTTGTCATCCTTCTTGGGCTTTGTCTGGCCAGTTCCTGGACCTCCCTCAACTGGTTTGGGYTTTTCRTTTTCATCTTTTGCKTCTGATACAGTTGTAACTCCTGTTCCAGGACCTCCTTCGATTCCCAGCCTGGAATCGCTATATTGATCATTCTTGGGCTTGGTCTGGCCAGTTCCTGGACCTCCCTCGATTGGTTTGGGTTTTTCGTTTTTATCATCGGCGTCTGATGAGTCTTCAGGTAAACTTGTATCTCCAGTTCCTGGACCTCCTTCAATGCGCTTGCTTACTTCATCGTCTTGGGTGTCTTCGTTTTTATTAGGTTTGGTTTCTCCAGTTCCTGGCCCACCTTCAATTCCTGAGCCGCTTCCTTCGCTTTCATCCTCTCTTTCAT